GTCTCAAACTTAAGAAAATAAGAAGAAAAGGCTTCTATTGTGAGCTACTGTCAGGTAGAACAATATGTCTGTGAAATTATATTTTCTCTGGTGCATGTTGCTACAAATAGTGGGAAGTGACTCTGTGGAAGATAATATTGGCACTTGAGGGAACAATTAAATAACTACCCTGTTTTCCCTGCCTGAATTCTGAATCGAGATAGACAAAGAGTGAGGCAGATGGGGACCAAAAGAGGGCCTTTGGAGAACATGTAGCAACAATGGACTTCCTGATTCTGAACCCCTAGAATTGAGCAAATGTTCTCACCTATTCCCTCTGAATAAAAAGCAAGTGCAGGGTCTTTATCACTAAGCTTTCCACCTGATCTATCAGAGCAGATTCTTTGCAAGCAGACAGATCCCCAAGATGAAATAGAAAGAAAGGAACGACTCTTGCCAGATCCTCCTCCAAATCTCACCAAGCTTTAGATTACTCTGCCTCTCTAGGCAATAGAGAGAGGGACTGAGAGGGAAAAATTCCTTGTGAAGGACAAGAGGAGTGAGGAATAAGAGTTCTCTCTCCCATACCAGCACCTTCCGATGACGTATAATTGGTGCACTACGAATCTATTTACTCTACAGAATACTGTTTGGGGGAGCACAGGAGAGTGAGAGAGAACTTCCATGAGGTGAGTTCTCTAAGAACTGTATTTAAATTATTTTTCTTAGTGATGTTTTGACTTTGCAAGTGTTCTTTTTAATTGTACCCCCGAACATAAAAAATTTGTCTTTTAACTTAATCAGAGAAATATTCTTCCACAATTCTGGATGCTCGACACTATGCTATTATCTCAATAATGCTCTTTTCCCTAGAATGTAGTAGATATATTACATTGCACCACAGTGTTTTAATTCTTAAGAACATTTTCCATTCATTATAAATTGTATTTCCAATATTTATATTAACCAACTGTGGAATGAAAGACCTACAAAAGGTCTTCTTAGACATTGAGCCTGTGAAGAAGACTGAGAAGAAATGGACTGAGGTGGGAGGTGAGCCAGAATAAATTTTTCTTGAATCCAACAGAGAAGATTCAGGAAGTTTCAAGAGGATTCAAGAGGTGGTCAAGATGTTGATGTTGAACTATTAAGCTAAGTAAGGACTAAAATACATATTTGCTCCTGGCAACTAAGAAGCCACTGCACACCCCAATGAGAGTGGTTTTAGCAGAATAAAGGGATTAAAGCAATTTACAGAGGGTTAAGGAATAGAGGAGCTATGGAATAGAAACACACAACTATTGAATGCAAATTTTTATCTCTAATGGTTTAGCTGTGAAAAGAAGAAAGCACAAGCCTTATTCAGAAAGATCAGGTCAAGGGAAAAATCAATGTTCATTATAAAAACTGTTACCAATAAACATATGCTGAAAACCTATAGTGATTAGTAAAATATATTCTGCATATGGTATCATACAATAAAGTACTAATTTCTGTAGTTCTAATAATTAGACCATATAATATAAAATAGGACAAATATCACATGATCTTACTTATATATGGAATCTAATTAATGCAATAAACTGATGAATAAAATAGAACCAGAGGTGTGGAATCATGAAACAGACAGGAAGCTCAGAGGGGAAGGGCTAGGGGGGGTAAGGGGGAACAAGAAGATATTAAGCAGAGAATGTATATGCATATATGCATTGCCCATGAACACAAACAATAGGGTGGTGAAGGCCTGGGGTGAGGTGGGGACATCTGTAATACTCTCAATGATAAAGATGTGAATGAATGAATGAATGAATGAATGATTAAATAAATAAATAAATAAAATAGGGCTAAATGTGATAAACAAATAATATATGCACGAGAGTAGGGAGAATTCTAAATGCTCCAGGGGTTTAATAAAAGGCTTTGTGGAGGAAGTAGGCCTTTTTTTTTCCCCTTAAAATTTTTTAGGATAGGAAAAAGACTGAATAAAAGGGACAGAGGTCTTTCAAAGTATGAATAGCAGCAAGGTATTGATCATAAACATGTTGCATTTTTTAAACATCCAATCAAATTAAAATTTCCTCCATCCCCTGCTCCTCCTTCAGAAACCCCAAACAATTGCTCAAACTAAAGCCTTATTCTTCTTCCTCACAAGAGTGCCAAACCCAGAATTATTAGTGAAAGTAGACATGGGTCAAGTTAGAGGAAATAAAACAGACTGAGTTGGATCATGGTGTGTGGGATTTTTTGTTTGTTTGTTTTTTGTTTTTATTTTTTCCAGGCACATAATTAGACACTGGTTTAAGCACGTTATGTTAGTTAACTTCATCTTCACAGCAACCCATAAGAAAAACACTTCTATTATGCCCACTTTACAAATGGGAAAACTGAGATAAAAACTAAGTTACCTGAAGTTATCCAGATAGTAAGAAGCATACTTGAGATGCATAACCAGGCAGTGCGGTGCCTGATCTATGCTAGTAAATGCTACTCTATTCTGCCTTTTTCTCTGCTAACTTTAATACGTAATATTTCAAAATAATATATACTCATGATCTAAAAAATTCAAAAGTACACTATGTCTTGGCATATTCACTAGCCCTGCAGTGAACATTTCTGTGTATAAGCATGGGAAGAGGAATTGGGTGAATGGAGTGATACAGCTTTCCATAAACTCATGTAAAAACCCCATTTTTTAGCCTCACTTCTCTTTCCTGCCCTTTCTTTCTGTCAATGGGGAGTCTAAGTGCTCTCTGGGCATCACCAGAAAAATTAGTGGACAGTTTCCCAAACAAACACACACACACACACACACACACACACACACGCACATTCTGAAGCTCCTTCCTCCATGTGTTCAGGGCTACAGTTGCCCTCAGATGAGATTCTATTTCATCCTTCCACTTGCTCCCATTTACTTTCCAATTTCTGACTTTTTTTTAAATTCACTTTTTATCTCCATCCTATCCCATCTTTTCTATAATATTTTTATTTTGTGTTTCTTTGTTTTAATTTTCATAGAATATCAGCCTGAACTAAAAATGACACAGAAGATTTAAAAAAATATATTAGTGATATTTAACTATATTTATAAAGGCTGAAAACACTGATTAGGTGAGAGGTAGAGAGGAAAACACAGGAAATTTTGGGAATGGCTGATGAATCAATTCCTAAAAGAAGCAGTAGAGATTGACTTTATAAACAAAGTGTATAAACAAAGAAGTTTCATAGCAAGGAAAAAAACATTCATTCATTCAACAAGTCTGTATTGAGCTTCTATTATGTACCAAGTAATATCATAAGCTCTGGAAAATATAGCAGTAAAAAAACAAACAAAAATCCCTTTTTTTATACTTACACTAGAGGCCCAGTGCATGCATTCATGCACGGGTGGGGTCTGGCCGGCCGGGCCCCAATCGGGGCCCAATCAGGGCTGGGCTGGCTGGGGGGAGGGCCACAGGTGATTGGACGGTGGGCCCCACCCCCATTTTGGGTTGGGGGGGCCGATTTGGGGTGGGGCCACCCATGGGGAGGGGTTGTGGGTGGTTGGCCCTGCCCCCAAATGGGGTGGGGGGCTGATCAGGGCCCAGCAGCCAAGGAAGGGGCCGTGGGAGGTTGGCCAGCCACCCCACCCCCGATTGAGCTGGTTTGCTGGCCCCAGTGGGCGTCATAGCGACGGGTTCTTCTGGTCGTTATGGTGTTCTGGTCACTGGCTTTTTATATATAGAGATTGTGGTAGAAGAAGTGAGACAATAAACAAAAGAAGTGACTATACACAATGTTTGGTCATGGTAAGCACTAAGGCAGTGGTTCTCAACCTGTGGGTCACAACCCCTTTGGGGGTCGAATGACCCTTTCACAGGGGTCGCCTAAATACATCCTGCATATCAGATATTTACATTACAATTCATAACAGTAGCAAAATTACAGTTATGAAGTAGCAACAAAAATAATTTTATGGTTGGGGGGCACCACAAATGAAGAATTGTATTAAAGGGTCGCGGCATTAGGAAGGTTGAGAACCACTGCACTAAGGAGAAAAATAAGACAGGAAAGGGGAACAGAGCATAGTCAGTAGGATTAAGTGAGTGGGTGCAATTTTAAATAAAGTGATCAGAAAGGACTCTCTGAGAATAAAACATTTGAACAATAGCTGAGCTAAGGAAAGGAAAGGCAGGCAAAACAGATATTCTGGGGAAGACTTGCAGGCAGAAAACAACAGATGTGAAGGTCCAAGGCTAAAGCAAGACCCTCATTATCATATTCAAGGAAGAGCAGGGAGGTAGATGAGTGAGGAGCATAGTCAGCCATAGGGTCAAAGATGCAATGGGAAACTCTTGTTAGAGCTTAAGGGCCATTGTGAAGATTTGGGCTTTTTCTTGGGGCAAAATGAAAACACAATGGAAAGTTTAGGAAGGAACCTGTGATCTGATTTTGAACAGAATGACTCCAGCTATTCTGTTGAGAATGGATTGTAGGGCCAGAAGGGCAGAAGCAAGAGGACAAATTAGGAGGTTATTGTAATAATCCAAACAAGAGATGAGAGTGATTTGGCAGGCAAGAATGACTCCAAAATTTGGGAACTGAACAACTAAAAGGATGGCGTCACCATTAACTGGCATGGGGAATACAATGGAACAGCACAATTTGCCAAGGAAGAATAGCAGTTTTGTTTGGAACATGTTGAGTTTGTGAAGCCTATTTGATACCCAATGGAGATGTTTAGTAGGCAATAAAAAGTGTGAGTCTGGAGTTCAGGGGAGAGGTTTGGCTGGGGATATGTAGCACATAGCTAATAAATAGCAGCTCATTTTCCCTTAAAACAAAAAAGTAGAATGGACGTTACTATGGGCAGTTTTATAATGTAGGGAAGGGAAAATATTAGCATCTGACAGCTTCTATTTTCTTTGTTAAGGTTGAAGCAAAGTTAACTACTAAAAGAGAGAGTTCAGGCTATTAACCAGCATCAAGTAAAAGGGTTGCCACGTGGCAGTGAGAGCCCAGCTGAACTTGAAATTACTAACCTTGCAGTAGTTTCAGTGTGTGCTTATACAATTTTACTTCCACCATGTTCAGTAGCCTATGTGGTAAAGCAGTGAAGGTAGGTCTTGCATCCACTCAGGGTGAGAGAATAACTGGTGGCTGGAGAGGAAAGAAAGAGGGGCAGAAAATTAATAATTCTGGTGACAGTATCATAGAATTGATGTCCATAGACCCCAAGAATCATGTATAATAGTGACAGTAAAAAATATATCTATATAATATAGAAAATTGATATATTACAGTACTGGGACTTAAAGCAACTAGATATCATGTAACACAAGTTATGTTTTGCAACACCAAGATCCTTATTCTAAAAAGTATACCACTGTATGTACAACTTATAGGACATCCAAAAAAGGAAAAAGTTCACAGTAAAATTGATATTTTAATAGTTGTGAAATTTCTTTCACTGCTCAAATTCTCTTTGCTTTTACATTCCAAACTGGTTTCATTTGATTCAAGCCAAAATCCCATGTGATTCCTTCTCTTTCCCTGGAATTTTTCAACAGACATAGGCATAATAATATAACTGTGGTCAGTCAAGTCCCTTAACAAAGGATAGAATGTCTTCCTTTGGCATTCCATAGAGATGACTTAGTCTTAGCTGAGTAGAGAGCAAGACAAGTAATGATCTTAGGCATGGAGACTCTCTGTAAACAGTTCTAGGCTTATGTGACTTGTTTCAATGAAATAATAATCAACATAGAAGCTTTCTTTTAAGTGTCTATAAAATGCCAGAAATTTAAAAGATAAATCTAGAGATAAGCAAATGTCTTTCCTATCATGCTTCCAAAATATCAGGGTAGCTAACATTTATAACAAGTAATGAAAAGGATTTCTCAAATTGCATTCATGGAGCTCACAGTATAGCAGTAACACAAACCAGGCCTAGCTAGTTTTTGTTTTATTGAATTTATTGGGGTGACACTGTTTAACAAAATTATACAGGTTTCAGGTGCATCTATACACTGTACTGTGTGTTCACCACCCCAAGTCAAATCTTCATACATCATTATTTATCCCCCCTATCCCTTCTCCACCCCTCACCCCCTCCCACTGGCAATCACCACATGGTTGTCTGTGTCCATAAGTTTTTTCTCCTTTTTTTCTTTTTTGCTCTATCCCTCCAACCCTTCCCAGCAATCCCCACAACAGCAGTCAGCATGCTCTCTATCTATGAGTCTGTTTCTATTTTGCTGTAGTTAATTTTGTTTATTAGATTCCACATATGAATGAAATCACATGGTACCTGTCTTTCTCTGGCTGGCTTATTTCACTTAGCATAATTCTCTCCATGCTGTCACAAAGGGTAAGATTTCCTTCTTTTTTACAGTACAGTGATATTCCATTGCATAAATGTACCACAGCTTTTTTTATCCACTCATCTACTGATAGACATTTGTGCAGATTAAAATCTTTAATCCAAATCTTGGCTATTGTAAATAACATTGCAATGAACATAGGGATGTAAATATTCTTTTGAATTACTGTTTTGGGTTTCTTTGGATAAATTTCCAGTAGTGTAGTCTCTGGGCCATAAGGCAGTTCCATTTTTAATTTTTTGAGGTAACTCCATACTGCTTTCCACAGTGGCTGCACCAGTCTGCACTCCCACCAATAGTGCACAAATGTTCCTTTTCCTTAACATCCTCGCCAGCACTTACTGTTTGTTGATTCATTGATGATAGCCATTCTGACAGGTATAAGGTGATATCTCATTGGGGTTTTCATTTGCATTTTTCTGATGATTAGTGATGTTGAATATCTTTTTCATAAGTCTATTGGCTTGGCCATTTGTATGTCCTCTTTAGAGAAATATCTATTCAAGCCTTTGCCCATTTTTTTCAATTGGATTGTTTGTCTTTTAGGTGTTGAGTTTTACAATTTTTTTTTTTTTTTACAAATTTTGGAAATTAGTCCTTTATCAGATGTATCACTGGCAAATATGTTTTCCCATTAAATGGATTGTCTTTTCATTTTTTATGGTTTCCTTTGCTATACAGAACCTTTTAAGTTTGATTTAGTCTCATTTGTTTATTTTTTCTTTTGTATCCCTTGCCAGAAGCAATATGTCAGAAAAAATATTGTTACGAGAAATGTCTGAGGTTTTACTGCCTATATTTTCTTCTAGGGGTTTATGGTTTTGAGTCTAACATTTAAGTCTTTGAGTTTATTCTTATGTATGGTATAAGAAGTTAGTCTAGTTTCATTTTTTGCATGTATCTGCCCAATATTGCCAACACCATTTATTGAATAGACTATGTTAAACCATTGTATGTTCTTGCTTTCTTTGTTAAATGTTAATTGACCATAAAGGTATGGGTTTATTTCTGGGGTTTCTATTCTGTTCCATTGATCTATATGTCTGTTTTCATGCTCTTTTAATTACTATGGCCTTGTAGTATAGTTTAGTATCAGGTAGCATGATTCCTCCAACTTTGTTCTTTTTTCTTAAGATTGTTGTGGCTATTCAAGATCTTTTGTGGTACCATATAAATTTTTGGAATATTTGTTCTAGTTCTGTGAAATACCCCATTGGTAACTGATAGAAATTGCATTGAATCTATAGATTGCTTTGGGTAGTATGAACATTTAAATAATTTATTTATTTATTTTTTTGAGAGAGAGAGCAAGGAAGGGAGAGGGAGAGAAAGAGGAAGGATAACATTGATCGGTTGTCTGGTATGCGCCCCGACCAGGGATCGAACCTGAAACCTTTTTGTGTATGGGATGACGCTTCAACCAACTGAATCACCCAGCCAGCACTGATTTACATTTTTAATTTTGAACTTACAGATCAGTAAATCAGCAAACTGTGTAAAAAATCACCCAAAACTTAGTGAGTTAGAACAACAGCTGTTTAGTATCATTTACTATCCTGTAGTAGTGTAGGTGACTCTTCTGCTCTGTACCAGCTTAACCGATCTCTGCTGGGCTCTGCCAAGTATCTATGGGCAGCTAGCAGGTTGGCTGTCAGCTCGATGATCTAGCAGAGTATGTTAGTTTCTTAGTGCTGCTGTAACGTATTACCACAAACTTATTAAAACAGCACAGATTTATGATTTCATAGTTCTGAATGTCACAAGTCTCAACTGGGCTAAACTCAGATATCAGCATAAATTGCATTCCTTCTGAATTCTCTAAAGAAAAATCTGTCTCCTCACCTTTTCCAGGTTCTAGAGCAGTGGTTCTGAACCTTCCTAATGCCGCCACCCTTTAATACAGTTCCTCATGTTGTGGTGACCTCCAATTTCATTGTTACAAATTGAACATAATTAAAGCATAGTGATTAATCACAAAAACAATATGTAATTATATATGTGTTTTCCGATGGTCTTAGGCAACCCCTGTGAAAGGTTCATTCGACCCCCAAAGGGGTCGCGACCCACAGGTTGAGAACCGCTGTTCTAGAGGCTGCCTGCATTCCTCGGCTCATGGCCCTCCTTCCACTTTCAGAGCTAGCAGTGAAGCCTCTTCAAATCTCCATTCTCACATCTCCTTCTCTAACTCTGATCCTTCTGTCTCTTTCTCTCTCATAGGAACCCTTGTGATTACAATGACCCCCCCCTCTCCCAATAACTCAGAATAATCTCTGTTCAAAATTTTTAATTTAATCACATCTTCGAAGTCTCTTTTGCCATATAAGGTACCATACTCCTAGGTTCTGGGGATTAAGAACCTAGGGGAGAGGGCTTATTTTTCTTCCTGCAGACGGCTTCCTTCACATATTTAGCAGCTGGTCAGGATGGCTCAGTTCTCCACCAGGGAATCTCTTTCCCAGAGCAGGTAGCTCAGGTTCATAAGCACGATGATCTCAGGGCTCTAGCTCAGCAAGAGGCAGGGTCCAATGTATAAGCACTGATCAAATCTCTGCTAGTATCACATTTGCTTATGTCCCTTTAGCCAAAGCAAGTCACATGGCCTATCCACATTCAAGAGGTTAAAAAAATATGCTCCACCTCTTTATGGGAAGATGTGTAATCTCACATTGTGAGGGCTTGGATACAAAGAAGGGAAGAATCTGTGACCATTTTTATAATCTACCATAACTAGCAAATTATGTGGGAGATCTTCTAAGACAAGTCCATCATTGCTTAGAATAATCTTTGTACAGTTGCTTCCTCTGCCTAGAATGCTCAAAATGCATTCCTCTCTTCTTGGCTAATTTACTTCCCTCTTTTTTATTATAGCGTACATATAACATCTTCCAGGAGGTCTCCTCTTTGTGTTTTTATCATACTCAGTATTACTCCTGATGTAGCACTTACACTCTATTGAAATTATCTATTTACTTGTCTACTATTCCAACTAGACAGTGCTTCTTTAAAAAAGTGGGTCTTAGTCACTCTTGCTTTCCTAATGACTTAGTAATGTATCCTTTGTGTAGAAGGTTAATAAGAATGTATTGAATATATTTATTTAAAAATGTTCTATAAATTCCATTCCTCAATTATTGCTACAGTCTCATTAAAATATACTTATATTCAACAAATCTTTAATCCTTTCCTTTTCTACTTTGGAATCCATCCTTTCATTGATAAACTGAATAGGTAAAAAATTACTATTACTAAATATTTGTTGCAAAGAAAAGTTTTCCTTGGAATAAAAAGTTAAATTGTGATTTTGGAATCTTGGTAGCACAAATTGATTGTGTGACATTTAGGAAACCCACAAATTGCCGCCAATGGTGCTGGTTTGCCAAACTAGAGATCTCTGAGTCTGTCTTCAGTTGGGAAGCCCATCACATTTAGTAATCCAAGGCTAACTTAACTGGAATTCCTTCAAACTAAATACAAAATAAAAACCAAGATATTTTGGGATATTTCCAAGAAGGTCTTAAGGGGCTACCTGATTGCTGTTAATATATAAGAGAGAAAGCAAAGATTTCCAAAATTACATGACTCAAGGGCTAAGATTCCAGAGCTGCAGACACAACATGAGTAAGCAGGCTGCTCCAAATTGCCAGTGGAATTAAGGAATCAAAAAGGAGATGGTGAGTTACAAGAAACAGAGCTTGTTTGCGAAAGGGATATTCTGTGTGCCTGTAACCAAGAAAGCCAGCTACAATATAAGACAAAATGTACGATGTTTAATCTGAT